TGAGTACCCCCCCCCCCCCCCCCCACGACCCGCAAGACGAGCATTGAAGTTCGAGACTTCGCGAATGGTTGGATGAATGTCCAGCCATCCCGGTTTATCAGTTCCAATGCCTCACTGTTTCCCTATGGGATACGGCCATACGAAACGCACGTGACAGATGGCAGCGAGGCGAGCCCAGCAGGAGGCGAGGGGAAATGTTACAGCAATCATGGAGTCACTCCAAGACCAGGCGCAAAGCCTGGGGGGGCGCAACGTTGAGGATGGGGAGAGGGCGGAATAGCACCTGGAGGTAGCCCGCCAGACGGATATCCTGGAAGCGCGAGCACGGGATTCTGCAGCCAAGGAGAAGGGACGCGAGGACGGAGCATTATCGGCAACAGAGGTTGGTTGCTGAAGCCGACCGTGCGAAGAAGCAAGATGCGCGGGTAAATGTTGCCATACTTCGGCTCCAGAACTCGTTCCGATCAACTCTAAGGGTTGCGTTGGTGACTCGCATCATGCGTCGGGTCGTTGGTACCTCACAAAAAGATTGGGCGCCCCGCGTTTCCGAGTTTGGGGTTTATCTAGCAGAGGACATGACCCGCGATATGCATTACCCCTAACCCAGTTGATTGAAAAGCTTAGGCAAGCCTGTACGCTCGGTGGGCTGAGTGCATGCATATCCCCGGAGTTGTCTCCCGCATTCGGGCCCACATAACGTAGTTTGGTTATCCTTGTCGCTTCCACATCTCACATGCATATTGTTTGCTTGGCTCGATGTACTGCCCCCCGTTGCTTGAACCGCATGGTCTGCAACCCGTTCGAAAACCAGCACGAGGAATTGCTGGACTTCATGTCGTCCACGTTCCGGACTCCAGCAGGAGGCGTTGTCATCCAGTGGGACTCTTATGAAGAATTTTGGGAGTGTCTGCCCAATATCCCAGACGCGGCGAAGAGTCTCGTGACCGACGCGCTGCCCACCATGACGGAGCTGGTGGACTTGGCTTCGCGGCTACCTTGAAGGAAGCAGGAGTAGGAACGATTCCCGCCACCCGGATTGCCAACTTTATCCAAAAGACTATCTATGACGCTAAGTAGTTTTTTTTCTGTCCTTTCTCAAACATGTGGCGCCTGCTTGCGTTTTCGGTGGTAGCGTAGTGTTGCTTGAGTTACGGGGTTTGGTGATGGCTTTCAGGGACGGGGATAAGAAGTTCGCGGTTTTGGGTGGGGAGTATGGGGACCGAGCTGTTTCTCGAACCCAGCATGAGGTGGCTCTCGCGTAGTACTTGGAATGCTTGCGCGGTTTACACGGTTTCTCGGCATGTGTCAACACGCGTAGGTATAAATTATTGTGACGGGGGTTGGGGGGTTACGGGAACGGAGAGAGGGGACCACATTGTGCGCTTTTTTTTTTATTACATGTCACATTTTCTAGCGAGGCAGCTGTTGAAAAACAACGATCCTCGTAGAACGGGTAGTTCGACTTGGAGGAGGTGGCCTCGATAGCAGGAGAGTTTTTCCTGTCGATACTTGCCAAATTTTTGTGTCCACGTAAACTTTAATCGCGTATTCGATACCCCCCGCTCCATAACATGAACGTATGAAGCACATTTTGGGGGGTTATAAGGTTGTGACATAGCCTGCTTCGGCAGGCGACTTCGGGAATCCGTCTCAACATGGGTGGTTGCGAAGTTTGCATTACTTCGAAGGTGCATTATTTCGAAGGCTTTGTTTCGGTCGCGGTACTTTTACAAGACAAATAAAAAAAAAACTTGAGACCGGAGGTGCTTCGGCGATGTATACGTAGTTCCTTAGTCATTGCTCACCGGCCACTTTTCCTTGTGAAGGCACAAAATTTCAGAAAGGTGAAGGTTTGAGGAAGGCCCTCTTGAGATGATTGTTTCCGACGCAACGGCACGAAAACAAGTCGCTCTGCTTGGAACAAACAAAAATGGGACCGGCTGGCGAACGTACCTCTGATCCTTTCTCTGTCAATCGATAGCGCGTCCCTAGGAGACGGGACCTCCCACACCCTACACGTTGCCACTGCGAAGTACTGGTGCGATAACACCAGCCCCAACCACAACGGACATCAAGTCAACAGACAACACAACGAATTTAACCCGACCTTTGTAGGCACGTCTCGCTGCACGCCAGCCTCTCGTAACTGTCCCCCCGCGCTCGAAAATATCGGCACGTAGAATAGCACACACAATAAAACACTGCGGGGTCACGCCAGCCGGCGTGCGACTCCATTCGCCCGTCAGGTAGATTTCCTACAACATTTTTTGTCAAAAACAACCACGACCGGCGCAATGTCCGCCTATTAGATTTCAAGCGCCCAAATGCTATCCCAACACTGCTGCAAATGTTGCGCGGTTCCTTCATTCGCGACGCCACATACATAGTTCTCTCCCGTTGTGGACAAGATAGCTTTTCGGGTCCTCGTAGTCCCAGTAAAGGTGGATTCCGAGCTTTACCTCCCAGGCCTCCTTCACGCGTCCAGTCCACTCCGGGCTGCGCGGATACCTGTCGCGAACCCTCATGATCCGAGCTGTGAGCCTAGCGCACACGTTGAAGACGTCTTTCTCGAAGTCCCGTCGGTGCCTAAAAGCCTTGCCATTGCCCACTGCCTTCCACTTCTTAATCTGGCCTATGGTGTTCTCTACCACGACCCTGAAACGGCGCTGCTCTGTGTTCAGAACCGCCTCTCTTCATTAGAAAGATCCCCCTGTTGCGGCTTCCTGTAGGGTACGCACATGGGCAAGTCGCTGTCTGCTCGCGCGTTCCCTAGGTAAGCACCGTCCCCCATACCGACCTCGTCGGCTGACAGGAACTCCTCAGGATAAGTACACTCTAGAAGCGACATGTGCTCCCCTGTCCGATTGCGCTCCAGCCACCGTCTCAATCTGCACAACGTTTTCACACCCGCCAGGACAACAGGGCGACAAAGGTGGCGGGTTCCTTGCCATGTGCTCCACTATTTGTACGAAAGGTGGAAAAACTCTTCACCCCAAACTATACGGCAATCTGCATACGAATCAGCTTATGTAGTTAATGTCAATCTTCGTCTGGGTGCTTGACGCTTTGCGCGGCCAAAGGTTTTCCCCGAAACTCACGTCACCGAGGGTACTCTGCCGGCGCATATCGAGTAGAACGCCCCCCCCACCCCCCATTCCGACAAACTCTTTGTTAGCACTTCAACATGCGCCACGGAAATCCGACTTGCATTTCCAAGCGCACTGGAAATATGTTACGGTCACACATCACACAGCACTGATTGAAGCACGTCTACTACAGTAGATATTTTTGAGCGATTGACAACGAAGTGGTCCTGGTGGAGCGAGGGTCGCAACTCGAGTGAGCTCCTCAAGACGACTTAGCATTTGGGACTCCGATCAAAATATACGGCGCACCCGTATCGGTTTGCCCCTGACGTTGCAGTAGACGATATGTCTAGTTCCAAGGCCCTTGTTACCGGAGTAGTTCGCCTAATGCACCGGGGCGTGAGGCTCTGGTTGTCCCTTGCCGACCTGCACGGGATTCAAGCGGCGGGCGAGGGAGTGTGAAAGAAATGTCCCGCATGCGCACGAAAGGCGAATAGTTCAAACTGTAGCATAGGGTAAAGAGGGGGGAGAGCCACCTACCAACAGAGCCCATCGCAACCAGCACAGGTCTGGACAAACCAACGTCGCATAGGAGGCCAAGGCTGAGACGAAGGAGGCCAAAGCTGAGACGGAGGAGCTTAGGGCAGCAAAGCGGCGGTCTGCGGGTGCACCTGCCGGCAGCAGCTAAGGAGGCGACGGTCANGCAGCAGCTCAGGAGGCGACGGTCTAGTTGCTCCTGGAGGGGCTTCATCTGCACCGGTGAGGCCAATGTGGCCAGGCGGGGTGAGTCATGATGGCGGTACTGGGGTGCCGGGCTTGCCTCTGGGAGGTACAATTGTCAGAACTCCTGTGCCTAGAATCCCGCCTAATTGCACCGCCGACACTTTTCTCAGTTGGCGGAGACGCTTTCTGGCCTACGTGGACAACCACAATCTCTAGCACACAATCTTCGGCAGTGCTGAGGTTTCCGTTGTCAGTTTTCAGGATGAAGGATACCTGACACGCCAGTATGGTGCACAGCTGGTTGTTGAGCACAAGAGGACATGGAGTTTTATCTTGGAGGCAGCGGTGGGGGCCCCATTTGAGAACAACCTGTACTCTTGCCATTCCGTGGCAGAGGCGTGGAGGATGATGGAGGATTGGTTTTTGCCGAACCACCCAGCTGATTGTCAGCTCCTCGTCGCCGANTCGGCAGTGCTGAGGTTCCCGTTGTCAGTTGTCAGGATGAAGGATACTTGACACGCCAGTATGGTGCACAGCTGGTTGTTGAGCACAAGAGGACATGGAGTTTTATCTTGGAGGCAGCGGTGGGGGCCCCATTTGAGACCAACCTGTACTCTTGCCATTCCGTGGCAGAGGCGTGGAGGATGATGGTGGATTGGTTTTTCCCGAACCACCCAGCTGATTGTCAGCTCCTCGTCGCCGAGCTAGATAATATAACCATGAGTGATGATGAGGACCCCAAGCTTTTCTTCTCGCGCGTCGCACAACTGGAGACCAAGTTACGGGCTGTGGGCATTGCTAAGAGTGACCACGAAATTGTGCAGATCCTTGTGCGCCAACTCTCCGCACGCTACGATCTCGAGAAGCGCACTAGTCTTTCCAAGCGTTATTTAACCCGCGCTGAGTTACAGGACGTCGTGCGTGGTCGATATGCCACGCTCAAGGCCAGCGAGATGAGGGAGCGAGGGTCGGCAGCTTCGACGCCGGCGGTTTCTGTCAACCCCCATGCTCTTGTTGCGGTCCGTGGTTTTGGACACGGCGGCAACGGGGGGAGCGGGGGGGGCGGAGGCCAACGGCGGAATGGCAACAACTGCGACGGCCGCGGGCAACACTGGTCCTCTGGGGGCGGTGTTGTCCAACAGCAACAGCCGCAGTTGCAGGTGCAGCAATACCGGCAGCCGCAACAGCCGCAGCGACACATGCAACAGCCGAACCAACAGCCGCAGCGGCAGGTGCAACAGTCGTACCCACAGCCGCAGCAGCAGATGCGACAGCAGCAGCCGTACCAACAGCAGTCGCAGATGCAGCCGTACCGGCAGTCGCAGCAGCAGTCGCAGCAGCAGCGGCAGCAGCAACAGCCCGCTTTGAACGGTGTTGGTGGCATCTACGATTGCGGTAGTAATGCCGTGTATCATCAGCCGGAATCACTACCTCCACCTGGCGCGCCGATGGGCACAGTGCACAGATGCGGCCGCTGTGGAAGGCACGGTCACCA